GATGGACATTTATTTAGATTGTTTCCGATTTTTGAGGAAAACTTTTTAATTCTGTTTTCAATTTTATCTTCATTTTAATGACATAAAATGTATAAGAATGCATATTTTAGATTATCTGAATGATTTATAACTGAATAAAGACAAGCAGTTTCAGTGCCACAGTTTCTATCTGTGATTTCATTGGTGCCCAATATTACAACTTCAGTTGTCTAAGGTTAGTGAAAAAAGAACAAAGGTAAACTTGTAATATGTAAATGATTCATCTAAGTTAACTGAAGTTCAATCTAGATCCAGTAATACCGTAGAAAGGAATGTTTCACAGAAGAGTTGAAAAAGAAAAAAGCCTTGGAAAAATTTAATCAGATATGGCATTAAGCAGCAAAAGGTGTTGAATCTCCAAAAGTCTGTGCTGTAGCAGTCATTTCCATATTTGTACCTTTAATATTAAGGGCTTCACCACTTATTTTAAATTTTATTTTGATTGTAGAGATATAAAAGAGCTATAAACATAGTTTACAACTTGTTTTACATATATTTAAGTTAGCTTTAATAAAAATTATGTGAACACTGAGAATCGTAAGAAATTTTTTCCTTGAAGTCTGTGCTGTACTCAAGCAATTGTAAGATATATATAGTAATAAAATAACTGAAACAGAATTTAAAGCCTTTCTAATCCTGTCATAATATAAATAAAGACAAAAGAGGAAACACAACTTGTGCAAAAATCACACAACCAGTTAATGACAGCTGGGTCTAAAACACAGCTCATCAGTGTCATGGTTACAAAATTTAGTACAAGTTGTATGTTGTTAGTCTCATTGAGCGTTTAGTCATTTTATAAACAAGACATTTATTAAAATTGAGACATGAAACAGATTCATTTTCTAAGTCATGTTTTCCTACCTATGTCTGAATAACGACTGCATTCCAAACCTTTAGTTTAGGACCTAAGATCTGGTATCTACAGAGTTGGCAGAGGGAAGTGAAATGTTTTAGCTAACTTTAAGACTGAAGAGGCAGAAGGATATACATTTGTCCTTCCATATGCGTGAATGAAGGATTGGTCCCAGGACCCCTGTGGATACAAAAATCTAAGATACTCAAGTCCCTAATCTAAAGTAGTGTGATATTTGAACATAACCTATGCACATTCTCCCATATACTTTAAATTATCTCTAGATTACTTATAATAACCAATGTAATGTAATGCTATGTAAGTAGTTGTTTATACTAAATTTTAAATATTTTATTTTTAATTATATTGCTATTTTTACTTATTTTTTAAAAATATTTTTGATCCATAGTTGGTTGAATCCATGGGTGTGAAACCCACGGACAGGGAGGGCCAACTGCAAATGGAAAAAACAGAAGAGCCAGGCTCGACTTTCAGCTCCACCACTAACTCAGTTTATGAATTCAGGCAAGTTGCAACAGCTCTGCTCTTAAGTCCCCATTTTCTCAAGGAGAGATAGGAAAAGGAGAGTAGATTAGATGGCTTCTAAGATTTTCTTTGAGCTCTACGTTTGATGAATTTCAACTGTTAAAAGGAATCTTCTATTATAAACTCTAGTCTCTATTCAGAATCAGCCTAACCTTTGCAAAACTTAACAATATTATTGCTATACTCTGCCCACACACCCACCTGTCCTCCCACATTTTTTTCGCTATTTCCTAACACATAAGTTATACTCAGAACAATGAACCTACTCACTCCTAAGTGCCTACAGTATATAGTAAGTGCTCAAGAAATACTGAATAGATGCATTCATGTAGAAATGAATGCATATCTTCTCATTTTCTGCCATCCACTAGGACTTGTTTCTGGCTTCTTGTTCTTACTTATGCTATAATACAATGAGATGTTTTTATTGGTTGGCACAAAGTAAATGCTCTTTGAATGCCAATTCATCAGTTCTTAGCCCTAGTAACTCATCATATATGGAATCAATACCACATAATTCAGACCTAATATGTTTCACATGCATTTGTTTTATTTCTCCAAGTATAGTATTAAGTCCTTTGAAGACATGAAAGAGTATGCCTTTTACTTCATTTACAATTCTTAGCGCAGCATTAGGTGTTCAAGACTTGATTGAGTGATTGATTGCTAAACTGCAGACAGATAAACAACCGTATTTTTAAAGGCCTTCAGGAGAGTACCCTATTCAAACTTAAATATTCACAAGAAGCTCAGCCCCCTTGCTTTAGTTTCAGAAGAGGTTGTAAGAAAGATAATTATCAATCTTTGCATAATGTCTTTATAAAAATCTAAAAACCTTTATTTACAATATTCTTCTTCCTTACCTTCTTTTCCCAGCTAAATAATCAGTTGTTCACAACTAGTTCCTGAGACCTGATTCATTTCTCAGTACTTTAAACAAAATAAAGGCACTTTACTACTGAGTATTAAAAAATAATAGCTATCAAATCTGGAGGACTCTAAAGGAGAATTTATCCACAGCAAGTCTTCTAGTAGATAAAATTAAATTTCAAAGTAAATTATTAAGGTAATCAGCAGGGATGTTCAGCTAATCATTTTCAAAGAAGAACAAAGTTATCAAGAATAAAGTAAATGTTTCCATTTTTCTAAAGAACTATTATCTTCCATCTTTTTTTTTCTCTGAAGTGCTTCTAGTAGATGTCAGCATCACTAGTCCTCAGAGTATCAAGAGGTGAAAACTCACAACATGAAAAACCTCAGACAGGAAGCTTAACGTTAGTGTTGCATAAAAGATACCACAAACGCCTGACCTGGTTATCCTCTTCCTCCCCACAACTCCCCAAGAGCAACCAGCATTAATCTGGTATCTTGTGATGTTCAGAATGTGTTCACAAACCAATTTTCAGCTCGACTTTCATCATATTATGGAGAATTCAGATCAGTAGCTCTTTGGTTCCAGCACTGTCTCAACCATAGTATCATTTGCCCTTTAATATATTTTCATAATTCCCACTTCTTACGCTTCCTGATTAATGTATCTGAGATAAAGAGATTAAATTAAGATGGGCATATACCTCCTTACCCAAACTGGGACACTTTAAAGAGTGAAAGAGGACACTACTAAAAAGTCACACTGGGACAACCAGCAAAAGCCAGGACTGTCACAAACCAGGATATACCATCACTTTAAGATTAAGCAAGGTAAGGAAATTTAGAGAGGACAGAGGTGTCATGATGTCTTGGGTGCTGGCAACTAGAAACTAGGTCAACGCTGCCATCGTTGTTTTGTTTTTTTTCCCCACGTGGCCTTCCAGTTCTAATGATTAGCTCATTGATCTAGGAATCATATTAATACTCTCATTGGAAATCTATAATTAGAATGCAGTGCGGTGAATTTTCTTTGCTTTTCTTCTTTTTTTTACCTTTGAAGGTTCACACAGGGCAGTTGTTTTGTAAAGGAGAGTGGGGATTGCAAAGTTTTTGCCCTGGGCTCTCTTGCATTAAGAATTGTTGCATCTGGCCTCTTTTCAAGCAACCAGATGTGAAGTAAGTAATGCAGTTTAGATAACAAATCTCATTTTAATACCTTTCAACATAAATAACAACAGTCAATTTGCATATTTCAAGGCTTCCAAGAAGTGAGAGACATTCACCACACAGGAACCACAGTCTAGAAAACTGCTAGAGAAAATAAGTGTCCTATTAAAAATATTTTTAAATGGTTAAAACTGATTATTTCAATGAAGGCGGTAAAATAAAGCTTGATTTGATGACTACAAGTAATCAAAGCATCACAGTAGCAAAACATAGAATAATTCAATTCAGTAAATTCTGAACACTTTGGAAGTCTGAACCATAATCCTTAGCTATTGAAATGATTATATTCTGGAATTACTATCAACTCTGACAAGTCTGTAAACACCATCTAAGGCAACACATGCTTTGATGGTATCAGTGCTCACATATTATTTGCAGAGTATACAGAGCTCTAATATAGACTAAAAAACTCGATAGTGAATTCTTAACAATGTACTGTTTCTACCAATCTGAAACTGCAAGTAAATGCATTAAACTATCTTAAAAGAAAACTAACAGTAATTTCTATTACTCCCAATTTTGCCATCTTGATCCATTATGATAGGTCTTGTGACTCATCACAGTAGGCCAGTCTAAAGACAGTTCATGCCATTTAAATCCATAGTCATCAGTAAAACTAAGTATGGCAATAAACAAAATAAAGAATAAAAAAATTCAGAAATAAACTTAGAGCAAATGCAGATGTTAAAATGTAATGATCTAGGTGGTAGGATAACAGAGATAAAAATGTATTATGTCAATAGCTGAAGTACATGTTGGTACCTAAAGTGTCTACTGGAGCAGTGCAGGACAGTGTGGCTTTGACCACAAAGTATAAAATAATCAGTAACATTTGTATAGTTTTTTAGAGTTCACTGAGCACTTTTACATATATTATTTATTTCATCTTGAGAAGTAGAAATTATTATCGCTTCTCAGACTTTTGGCTAAGATCAAGTGAGAAGTAGGAATTATTCTCATTTTATTGAAAACTGAGGAATTTCACAGAACCTAAGTAACTTGGCCCAGATCATTCAACCACGGAGTAAAATCTAAACTTAAAAAATGTAACCCAAGTCAGCTGGGCACAGTGGCTCTCAAGCCTGTAATCCCAGCACTTTGGGAGGCTGAGGAGGGTGGATCACTTGCGGTCAGGAGTTTGAGACCAGCCTGTAATTCTGGCTACTTGGGAGGCTGAGGCATGAGAATTGCTTGAATCCGGAAGGCAGAGGTTACAGTGAGCCGTGATCACAACACTGCACTCCAGCCTAGGTGACAGAGCAAGACCCTGTCTCAAAAAAAAAGAAAGAAAGAAAGAAAAAAGAAAATTTAACCCAAATTAACAAACATTTGTTGAGTGAATCGGGTCAAATAACTTTGCTATTTAAGAGACACTGTGGAAAACATTATACAAAGAAGTATGAGCCTGCTCTTCAGGAACTTGTAATCTTCTGGGAGAAAGAAGCTGCAAAGAGGTGAAAAGTTAAGTAATGATACATGATTTGAATTAAGAATTGTAGCCAATAATAGAAGAGCTGCCACAAGGCAGCACCTGGTTAACTGCCAGATAATGTAAAAAGGCCGAAGCTTCACAGGGACTCAGAAAAACCCACCAAAATGGGATGGTTAGGCAAAATGCTTAATGGAAGAAAGGGACCTGTATAGAGGGCAGGATTCAGATTCTAACAGTATGGCCTTTTGAAAGGCAGCGACCATGCAGCTAGGCTGTTTCCTATCTGTGTCTCTCAATAGAACCTCAGTCACTAATGTGATATGAGTAAAGACTGTTGTCTGACTAACCGATGAAATGACTGGCAACTAAATGAACGAGCACACAGAGAGGAGGTGCAGAGCCTTCTGGGCGAGTTGGGGGGCATGAGCATGATGTGGAAGTATGAATGTGAACCTATTACCATGCTTTACCACAGCTCAGAACGTGGCTTAGCCAACGTTCCACAGCAAGAGGGCACGGCAAACACTGGAATATAGGTCTCCTGACTCCCAGAAGAAAGAATGTTGGCTTTAAAATTAGATATACCCAAGCTAGAAGCCCTGTGCCAGTGGTGTGACTTTGGGCAAGCTATTTAACTTCTTTCTGTTTCCTCAGTTGTAAAAGAGGATTATTGTGATGATTATAAGAAATAATATTAAAGAGAATAATGTAGAGCACTTAGAATGTAGAGCACTTACTGTATGCTTGGCATACAGTAAATTGAAACACTAGCTTCCTTCTCCCCATATACACTTTAAAGGGTGTTTTTGTTTGTTTTTAAAAGGCCCACTTTAGTATTGCTACCACTGGAAAGATTCCCTATGCAGTTGGCTCATGACTTAATTTACTCAAACCTAATTTAGACATAACTTTTCAGATTTTTTATTTTTATTATTTTTTGTATTTTTAGAGACAGGATTTCACTCTGTTACCCAGGCTGGAGTGCAATGGTATGAACATGGCTCATCGCAGCCTTGACCTCCCGGGCTCAAGTGATCCTCCCTCAGCCTCCCAAGTAGATGAAACTACAGGTATGCATTCCACCATGCCCAATCGAGTTTTAAAAATTTTTGTAGAGATAGAGGGTCTCACTGTGTTTCACAAGCTGGTCTTGAACTCCTGGGCTCAAATGATCCTCCCGCCTCGGTTTCCCAAATTGCTGGGACCATAGGCGTGAGCCACCGTGCCCAGCCTTCAGATGATTCTTTACTGTATACATGTCTACTTGCAATGGTAGTAGAATAATTTTGAAATCACTGCCCTATATATGGAGTCAGTGATCGGTAATTAAAGACTATATTTGGATGACATTAATATTTTGAGGAATGTACTGATATACCTAGGCCTCTGGGTGGAATTACATAACAATCTACTTATTAAACAAAAACAAATGCTATATAACTGTGATTAACTATTAAAAACCCTAACACACTGAAAGTTGTTCCTCTACCTTTAGAACAAATGGGCAAATGCTAAGGAGGAAAAGGCAGTTAAAAACTTATTTATTTATTTATTTATTTAATTTATTTATTTTTTTTTTGAGACGGAGTGTCGCTCTTGTTACCCAGGCTGGAGTGCAATGGCGCGATCTCGGCTCACCGCAACCTCCGCCTCCTGGGTTCAGGCAATTCTCCTGCCCCAGCCTCCTGAGTCACTGGGATTACAGGCACGCGCCACCATGCCCAGCTAATTTTTTGTATTTTTTAGTAGAGACGGGGTTTCACCATGTTGACCAGGATGGTCTCGATCTCTTGACCTCGTGATCCACCCGCCTCGGCCTCCCACAGTGCTGGGATTACAGGCTTGAGCCACCGCGCCCGGCCAAAAACTTATTTATTTTTAAAAGCACCTTCCAGAGCATTTCCTGGGATAATCTTCAACATTTTCTGTATCTATAGTGTAATGTTATTTGCTATTCAAAAATAAAACTAAGATACTAAAAGTTCTTGAATCATCAATTCAGGGCTATCTAAATTCAATTTAAATTTTATTTCACCCTATAATATCTACCAAGACAGAAAAATGGCTTAATATGTTGAGGAAAGATTTCACACAGGCAGAAATGAAAAGGGTTTTTGGTTGACTAGGTTAAGCAGAAATTTAAATTTTGTTTTGCCAAGAACAATGTATGCATTGTACATTCCAGTTCCTCATGATTTCACATGACTAGATTCTGGCAAAAGAATTGGAAAAAATGCTTAATTTGACAATCATTAATACATAACATCTCAGCACATATAGTTTCAAATACTATGGATATGTTAAGACCAAATTTATATCTCTGCCTCAGTTCTCTAGTTTAAACCTTGACACTACATAAAAATATCTATTTGGTAACTCCATTGAAATATCTCATAGGCAACTCCAACTCAACAGGTTAAAAACTGCATTCATCCTCTACTCTCTAAAACTGGTCCTCCTTCAATGAGCCCTATCTTAGTAAATGCCCCACCAATCTCCCAGCTGATCATTGCCAAAAATTAGGGAGTCATAATTTACAGCCCAGATAACCCCATCAAACCAATCACCATGTCCTTTTGATTCTACTTATTAAATGTTTACATTCAGCCACATGTCTTAATCTTTTCCACTTATCAACTGGAATCCAAAGACACTTTCTCTCACATGCACCTTTCTGTAGCCTCCTACCTGGCGTCCTGTCTGCCAGCCTCTCCTCTCCAACCAGCTCTACATACTGCAGCCAGCATGATGCAAATCACCTATTTAAACTCTATTTTGACTTTTGATTGTCTTAAATCCTGAATAATCTATTTCTTGCTTCTCTCTGAAGCCTCACTGGATTCGTTTTCTCCAATTAAATCAGTGAGTAAACTCAGCTGTTTCCCACATCAGAGCCTTCACATCTTATTTCCTCCATCTGTAACATAGTTCTTCTTGCAACCCTCTTAAGGTAACTCCAATTCACTCTGCGACTGTCAGCAAAAAAACCACCTCCCAAACTCTCACTCTAGCTTAACTCATCCTATGCAACTGCTCTCATTCTGCACAACTCATACTGCCATTTCTTTTCCTCACAGCACTCATCACTTTAGTTAATACTTGTTCATTTTCTGCTTTCCTCACTACCTGCACACTTAATGAAGACAGAATCATTGCAGGATCTTTACAGTAACACAACATTGAGTAAAGTTTTGGAAGACAAGTTTTAGTGTTCATTTTAACTTGCTGTGTTATCTTGGGCAAGTCATTTCTATCTTACTAATGTAAGAAACCAAAGTCTTACTCCAGGAAAATGTCCTTGAATTGTGAAATCTGGGCTTTACAATAACCTTTTAGATTATTGTTGATATAAAAACAGAGTATTTTAAAATTCTAAAACTCTCAGAGCCCAAGAATATATTTGTGGATCTCTAGGAATCTGTGGATCTCAGTTTGGGAAAGAGATGGTCTCTTCAAGGTCTAAAATTTCTCATCATTCTGAGAAAGGGGATTTTATTTTCTTGAATGTTTCACAGTGAATCATACCCTAAATGAGGGCTTGTTAAAATGAGATATGGAAGGGAATATAAGGAATTCCACAGCATCAATGCATCCAGAAGAATTCTTTCAGTTGAAGAACGACAGATTCTCAAGTGATTTCAGCAACAGCACAAAAAACATTTGACCTTAATTCAATGTATGTGACAATGGAAGGCTGACAGCATTTATCTGTGCTCAAATAAAATCGTCTTTTTGACTTTGTGGAGAAATATGGGAGAAAATCAATTTCAAAGTGAGAGAACAACAGAAATCCAATTTAAAAATGAACAAAAGTCTCGAATAGACATTTCTCCAAAGAACACATATAAATGACCAACAAGCACATGACAAGATGCTTGACATCAGTAGTCATTAGTAAAATGCAAATCGAAACCACAATGAGATAACACCTCACACCTAGGATGGCTATGATATATATATATATTTTTAAAAAGGTGTAGAGATGTAGAGACATTAGAACCCACATATATTGCTGGTGGAAATGCAGAATGGTGTGGTAGCTGTGAAAAGCAGTTTGGCATTGCTTAAAAAGCAAAACGGAATTACCATATGAAACAGCATTTCACTCCTGGGTATATACACAAAAGAACTGAAAGCAGGGACTAAAACAGATACTTGAACACCAATATTTACTGCAGCATTACCTGCAGTAGCAAAAGGCAAAAGCAATCCAAGTATCCATCAATCCAAGTATTCATTTCTCCATCAATGAATGGAGAAACACAATGTAGTATATCCATGCAATGGAATATTACTTAGCCATAAAAAGGAATGGCATTCTGATACATGCTACAACACGGATGCACCTTGAAGACACTGCACTGAATGAAATAAGCCATATAAAAAAGGACAAATATTATAAGAGTCCACTTATATGAAATAACTGGAATACGCAAATCCATAGAGACAGAAAGTAGAACAGAGGTAACCGTGGCTGTGGAGTGGGTGATGTGGAATTGTTGTTTAATGGGTATAAAGCTTCTGTTTTGGGTGATGAAAAAGCTTTGGAAATAGACAGGGGTGACAGTTGTATAACACCGTGAATGTAATCAATGCCACTGAGCTATACACTTAAGATGGTTAAAATGGTAAATTTTATGTTAAATATGTTTTACCACAGTTAAAAAAATGAGAGAATGGGCAAATTGTTTTACCGGTTGGACATCTAAAACTGCTAATCTGTTAAAGATCTAAGAGAGATATAAAATACACAACATGTTTTTCACAGGAAAATTTGTTGTACAATCAAGGATCTCAAGAATTAGCAGTAATAAGTGTACAACTAATATCTAGTCTACCTGCTCTTTTTAGAATTATAGCAGTCCCACAACTGGTTTATACTTACCAAGCAGGACAAACTTTAATTCTACAGCTCATGTTAATTATTAATCCTCCTTAGTCATGAATGCTAAAAGTCTCAAAGATAATTGATCAACAGTTGAACTACAAATCAAAGTAGAAATTCTGATTTCCTATTATCCTTCTTATCCCCCTCTAGTGAAGATGACAATGAGTGATTAAGTGACATCAGAATCAAAGACAGAAAAGTGAGAGCACTATTACTCTAC